ATCTTCGCAATGGCAGAGGGTGGCACTATCAGTCAGCAAGGCCGGAGGAAATAGGAAATCTAACAACATGAAATTCAAAAGTAAAGTCTTACACTTAGTCAAGAAAAACCCAAAGGACACATATAGTGAAACCAGTATATGTGAAACCAAGCTTAATAGCAAGAGGGATCTTGGAGTCTTAGTGAACAACCAGCTAAATAGGAGCCAGCACTGTGCGGCAACAGCCAAAAAAGCCAATGCAATCCTAAGTTGTATTAACAGAGGGATACAATCAAGATCAAGGGGGGTACTAATACCACTCTATAAAGCCTTAGTAAGTACACACCTAGAGTACTGCATCCAGTTTTGGTCACCACACTATAAAAAAGATGTTGAGAGTCTCAAAAGAGTGCAGAGAAGAGCAACCAGGATGATGAGGGGACTGGAGACTAAAACATACGAAGAACAGTTGCAGGAACTGGGCCTGGCTAGTCTAGGGAAGAGAAGGACCAGGGGAGACAGGAGAGCAGTTTTCCAGCATTTGAGGGGCTGCCACAGAGAGGAGGAAGGGATCAAGCTGTTTTCCAAGGCACCTGAAGGCCAGACAAGGAAAAATGGATGGAAATTGAACAAGGAGAGATTCAACCTGGAAATAAGGAGAAATTTTCTGACAGAGTAATCAACCTATGGAACAACCTTCAGAAGTTGTGGGAGCTTCATCAATGGAAGCTCTCAAGAGACTGGGCTGTCATTTGTCAGAAATGGTGTAGGGTCTCCTGCTTGGGCAAGACGGGTTGGACTAGATGACCTCCAAGGTCCCTTCCAACTCTGTTTATCTATTTAAATCTATTTAAAATGTTTTGTGCACAGATGGAATTACCACTCCACATTGAGCAATACTTAATCCAGGTCTCCATGATGTTCCCTTGGCTGTTTAATGCGTTTTATGGTATGTAAGGAACGAATGCAGATAATGCCTTTTTGCTAGCCGAGGGTTCAAATGATTTGCAGCAAACATTACACTGATTGTATAAGCCTTGTGATGGACCAAATGATCATATCACAATGATATTATGATAGGTCATAACAAAATCACATTATTTTGAAATAGCCAATGTATATACATTTCTTTAATCAGAACCCTTAATCTTTTTATCTACTTCTCTATCCTAATAACACCAGTTAAATCTTTGCAACAAAGAATTGATCAGAATGTCTAAAAAAAGTGAGGAAGAAACTGTTTCTGGGTGCGATATTTACTAAAGATGGCAAGATGAAGTAAAAATTATACAGCTGTAAGGAATGAGTATTTATCAGGAAAAAAAAGCAGAAGTGGCTGTATTTAAGAGCATAATTCTACCCATTGGAAAAAGAAGAGTTGAGTTACACTAGGAAAAGTGAGAAGATGGTACTTAAAACAAGAAGCTAAGGTTGAATGGATGTTAAATTAATTGAATATGAAACTAAAAGAAGAAGAAACGTGGAGGTGGTTTGATATGACCAAACCACCTCCACGTTTCTTGCCTGAACTGCAAAAAATATACGACAAGGTTAATGGATCAAGGAAGCAATAAATCAAAGTCATGGTTGGACAGAGTGGATGAGCCTAACTAAAGGGGGAGACATTTAAAGCATAAACCAGTAAATGGATTGGTAGAGGGATGGTAGGTTCAAAAATAGAAAGCTAAATAATGGTACAGTAAATAGTACAAATTAGATTTAGTGCTTTTTCCTTTTGTCTCATGCCTTACCTTTTTTGGTCTATTTCTTACTCTGCTTAACATTGCTTAACCATTCTTTAAACTTCCATTTCTAGAGATTTTTCACAAGTTCGGTCGTCCTATAAGTCTGGGTTTTTTTTTATTTCCTATATTCATAACTTTTAATTTCTCTGATTAAACTTCATTCTGTTGTCTGCATCCCATTTCCCTCACTTCTAGAGTTACGTGTTGAATTTTATTCCACTCTGCTCCAGGAGCAACCACCCCAAGCGGTTTCTGTTCTCAGATTGATAAGCATTCACTCAATCATAATTCTTAAAAAGAGCTGAACTTGGAAAAGGCACCGACCAGCAGTTCTGGATAAGCGCCCATGGGAAGGTACCCACTTGCCATGCCATTCCACCCACACTTCACTAGCTGGGGCACCTGGCCAAGTGCTTTGCTGAAGGCACGATGCCAATGGCATTTCCACAACCTAGGAAACTATAGGCAGTCCTTGACCTACAACAGTTCATTTAGTTACAACAGTGCTGAAAAAAGACACTTCCTTAACAACCATGTTACTAACTTAACAAATGCAATTATTCACTTAACAACTGTGACAAGCAAAGTCATAAAATGGGGCAAACTCACTTAACAGAAAAACAACAGATGTTTCACTTAGCAACATAAATTGTGGTCTCAGTTGTGGCCATAACTGGAGGGCTGCCTGTATTTCATTTATGTATTTATTTAATCTTCAAGTCAAATGAGGTTTGTTTAGCAACGTTGGTTCCTGACAAACGGATGTGGAATCCTCCTCGGGATCTGGAACCCCCTCCCTGAGATCTGCTCTCGGAATCTTCCTGCCTATCAAATCAGGCTTGGCTCCTCTGGGCTCCCTGGATGTTTCCCTCCTTCAGTTGCCTGGCCTCTTCCTTCTCTTCCATGGACTGGAAGGCTGGATAAGAACCATTCCTTTACAGGCCTCTTTATAGCCAAACCCCCACACACCGTTAAAAAAAACTCCATTTCCTCTTTTTTTTTCCTTCTTAGATTCTCAATTAGCCAAGTACAAAGTCTTGACCTTAAGGCAAGTTTTCCCTGGCAGAGGGCTGCAGGGCTGTGGCGGCTCCCCCAGCTCCGTCTTCACTGGCCGAGGGCTAGCAAAACAAACTAAAAACAAAACAAAAGGAGGAATGTTTCCCCTTTTGCATTTGAGCATGCAAGAAGGGCCAGGAAAGCAGAAGGGGAAAGAGGAAAGACAAAGAAAAAGAAGGGAAGATGAGTAAGGAAGGAAAAAGAAGGAAAGAGGAGAGGGAAGAAGAAAGGAGAAGGAAGGAAGGAAGGAAGGCAGGAAGGAAGGAAGGAAGGAAGGAAGGAAGGAAGGAAGGAAGGAAGATTATAATGAGAGTGAGGGAGGGTCTGAGGGAAGTCCTGCCTTAGCACTTGGCCACCAAAGGTGCCCCCCCCCCATATGAGTCCCGTGTCACGCCCAGCATGGCCTCCTCCACCACCACCCCAGCCCTCCGAGTTCAAACACAACCCTGATGCGGCCCTCCATGAAATTGAATTTGACACCCCTGCACTAAACCAAACCGGGCCTGTTTTGTGCTGAAAGAGTCTATTGTACTTTCCCCCCCATTGAACCGTTTGCAGGACTGTCCCAAAACAAGAACATGAGACTGGGAGCACCTGAAAGCCGCAAGACTTTTAGACCCTGAAAAATGTGTGAGGTGCAAAGGCTAGATTTCAGGGAGCTGCTTCTCGGACCTCTGAAGTATTCGCTAAGCAGGAGAGCAACCGCTTTCTGCTACCTTTCCTGCCCAGCCATGGGCCGTCTGAAGTCTGCCTGCAGTTAAACGTAGAAGAATCTTTGCCTTTTGACTTTTTTAAGGAAGAGACTACGGTGGTCCCGTCCAGCTGAGGAGCAGGCTTGATAAGTGCTCTTCTCCAACCAAACTTCCCAACCGATCCTCCTCCACCAACCCCCTCCCCAAGCTGGTATTTAAGAAAGAGGAAGGGGGAGCTCTGGTCCCAGCCAGCAGCTATTTCCTGTTGCTCTGCAACCTTAATGCAAACCAGACCCCAACTCTGAGCCTCCCCTGCATCTCCCTTTGCAGTCAGGAGGAGGCGGACCCTGGAGGAAGGGAGGAGAAGCTGGGACTTTCTGGGCTTCCCAGCTTCTCCCAAAGGCCCTGGATCATTCTCCTCCTAATACCCAGGTAAGCAGTGCAGGAGTGGGCTCCCTTCCCTGTATCCTCTTCTATATTCTTCTCTTTCCTCCACCTCCCCTTGCTGAAAGGAAAGCAGGAATGTCTTTCTGTGTTTGGCCACTCATGGTATCCCCCTCGACCAGCTTTATAGGAATTCCCAGTTCCAGGATCTCTAATGCAGGCGTGTCCAAACCGCAGCCCACAGACCGCATGCAGCACTGGACTGCTGGTAACACAGGCCTGCAAGAAAATAAAAAAATATAAAGGAAGCTTGTTATTTATATGCATTAACTACATTGTGTATTTTACAGCAGTGTCCCTCGACCTTTTGGGCACCAGGGACCACTTCCGTGGAGAGAGGTTTTCCCATGGACCGGAGGGGCTGTGGTTTTAGGTGCTGCCCGCATTCCGCGGGTGGGGCTTCGCTTGTTTGCGCTGCCCGGTTGCTGGCATGCCATGCACTGGTGCCAGTTCTGGGACCTGGGGCTATGGACCCCTGTTTTAGAGGCAGCCCAACCCAATACCTCCTCACTCGGTGTGGTCCAGGCCAGCTCAAGGCATTCCAGTGGATGCTTGGAAGAGAGCTGGGCCTGCGCTTCCCTTCTGCCCAGGGTCCCAGCTGGGAGGGTCACTTCCGCGCCACCTGTGGCACTAGGCAGCCGGGATCATTGCTGAGCTACAGAGCAGAGTACAAGAGCAAGGCCTGGCCTGCCCAAACCTGCCAGGGGGGAGGTGCGTGGGGCCCCTCTGGGAGCCTGGGTGCGCCTGAAGGGCCGAGACGCCAGGGAGGCCCCGCCTTGGAGGGAATAATCATTAACCAGGGCGGCTGGGTGGGGAAGCGGCAGCTGCCCTGAGAGGCCCCCGCTCGCCCTTTGGCCTGCTTCAGCCTAGCCAGCCGCCCAGGCCGGGGTTGTGAGGCGCCCTCCCCGCCGCAGGCGCTTGCTGGAGCCGCTGCTGACCGCCACGGCGGCCGCCACGCGTTTCTGGCGTTTCGGACACGGCCCGGAGCCTCCTTTGGAAACCCGCCGGCTCTGGCCGCCTCTGCCCAGCCGAGGGCGGCTTTCTCACGGGAGAGGCTGCGGGGAGGGAGGCCAAAGCCTCCCGGCTTGCATGGAGTCACGGGCGCCTGACGAAAAGCATCCGGGGCCGCTCGGAGATGCGCCCTTCGGCGGCCACCGCTTTGCCCTTCCCAAAAGGAGGGGGCGCCCGCTGAAGACGGGGCGGGCTCTGAGGCCGCCTTGCCTGAGCTGAAGCCGCTCGCCGGACGGCGCCCCCGAGCCTTCACCAGCCCGCGCGGGAGAGGAAGGGCCAGCCGGCTGAGCGGGCCGGTCTCTCTCTCTCTCTCGGTGGGCAGGACGCCGCTTCCCTGGGCCGCTGGCAACCGCCCCGGAGGCCGTCCCAGCGGAAGGACGGGCTCCCGCCCTGCTAATCCCGCTGAAAGGGGCTCTGGGGCGGTGTCGCCCCGCCTGTCCCGCTCGCTTCCCGCCCCCCGGCTGGCCCCGAAAGGAGCGCCCCTTTCCACTCGCGCCGGGCGGTCGGCCAGCTCGGCTCCGCTCCTCAGCTCCGGCCGGACGCTCCCGCGGGCCCTGCCTGCCTCCCCCGCGATGAGGAGCCGGCGGCCGCAGCCTTGAAGGCAACAGGTAAGCCGCGGCTCCCGCTCCTGACGGCGGCACCGAACCCGGACGCGCCTTCGAGGCGCTGCCGCTTCCCCGCCTCGGCTCCCCCGGCGGCGGACGTGGCGAGGAGGGCTCTCTCGACGACCGCCGGACCAGCTCGCTTTCCGGATCGGCCCGGCAGCTGCGCCAGGCTTCGACTTCGGGCCGCGGCGGTTCGTGGGTGGCACAAGGGGGCGGAGGAAGCCGTCAAGTCCAGCCGAGGACGAGGCTGGCGACTCCTGGCCGGCACTCTGCGTGGGCTCAGAGGTTGCCTCGCCCCTTCGTTTTGCCGGCCACGACTGAACCTCGCCCGCCCTGCCCGTTGGCCCAAACGGAGCCCCTTTCGCCGGAGCCGCGCCTCTCTGGAGGAAGGGGTCCCGGGCGCCGCCGCCGCCGCCGCCGCCTTCTCTCCCTTTGCCCGGACCTGCGGCCCCCCCCCCCCCGCCCGAAGCCGCGAAGGCGGCAGTTATGGGGCCGCGTTCCCGCAGACTGGCTGAGGAGGGCGAGGAGGGGGGCGTCACCCGGCCTGGACTGGGCGCTGCCTGGCCGCGGTTGTCCCGCCAAGGAACCGGGCGGGGGGGAGACTCCGTGCCGCTCGCTCCCCCCTTCGCGGCGTTTAGGCGAGGCGGGTTTCCTGGCGGGGGGCGGGGGCGTCGCCATGTTCTTCTTCCCACGTCCAAGAGTTGCAGCGTCTCCAGCTGCGGCTCTCCGAGGTTTGGCTCCCGCGGGTTTCTTCCGCCCCGCCTTCCCGCTTTTCCTGCCCGTCCTAGCTGAGGCCCCGCAGCCTCGTGGCGCCGGAGAAGCTTCGGTCTGCTGTTGGGCGGGAGGCTGCGGCCCTGCCGGGGCTCCCCCGGGCCCTGGAAAGTGGCTCCCTTCGCCACCTTCTGTCCCCTTTCCTGGAGGGACTTTGTATTATTCGGTGCCCTTTGCGACTCTCAGGAGGAAACGGCTGTGTAGACGGAGCGGGACAAGGTTGACCTCTCCAGCCAAGGCACCCCTCTTTGCGCAGGGCACCCCCCTTGGGGGTCTATGAGAGGGAGCCCCCCAGTGCTTCTCCTCTGCCCACTTCTCTGCAGGCAGCCCCCCGGAGAGGCGGGGAGCTCCGGGTGCTTCCCCCAGTGAAAGGGGTTCTCCCCCAAGGGAAGGGGCCTCTTGTGGTCCTTGGATGCTCCTTTAGTGCCGGCCACAGAGCAGGGAGGCCCTCTGATCTTTGGCCACCTGAGCAATGCCACCTGATGGAAACAGGGAGGACCTTCCCCTCCCAAGAACCACCTGGCTGGTCCCACAGCAGCAAAAAGTCAAGGTAACACACAGAGTTGCTGCAGACCGTTCTTCCTAGAGTTAGGAGGCCCCTTGAATCCCGTCCCAGCTCTCTGTAGGAGCCCCAACTCAACCTTCTCAAAGAGGTGGCCGCCTGGCTCCATCACTACACAGCCAGGAAAGGGGAGCCCCTTCTTTTACCCTCAAACTCCACTACTCCCTATTAAGGCACAGTTCAGTTGATATGGGGCTTCCTGTACTATAACTTATGTTTGCTATTTTTGTTGCACCCTCTGAAAAATTGAGGACAACCTTTATACTTCTGTGTTGCATCATTTTCAAATATTCATATGCTATCTCTTCTCCAATAAATCTTCCTAGTTCCTTCAGTTTTTTTTTTCTCACAGAATGTAACTTTCCAGTTTCTTGAAAATCTGGTTCCCAATTATCTTAGTTCTTTGAATTTGTCTGAATCCTTTTTAAAATGTAATGTCTACAATTGGACATAATACTGGATCTCTCCCTTACACAGGTTGTAATATACTGGATCTCTCCCTTATACTGGCTATAATATGCAAGATTAGATATTGTATACAATACCTAATATACAAGATTGTGTAATTTGGAAAGTGTATTTCATTTGATAGCCATATTTGCCCTCTTTGCAGCTAAATCCCACAATTCAGCGTTATTCAATTTGTAATAAACATTTTCTCCAATATATCCCAAGTATTGTTTCCAAGCCAGGTATCTCTGTTCAATATTTTTGCATTTGATAATTGTTACCTAATAATGTCTCTGTTAAATATATTCTGTTGTTTATCAGTTTGACAAGGGAAGTCTAATTCAGGGATTTTGGGGAGAGGGAGTTGCTTTTGAGTCAGTACAGATGACCTGGACTAATCTCCACAGTTTTCTTGAGGAAGTTTTTCAGGAGTGGTTGGCCTTTGCCTCCTTTGTCCCAGGGCTGAGAGAGAATCCATGGCTAATGTTAGAACTTTGGTTTCCAGCCTGGCACTTAACCATTGCACCACCTGGCTCTCCTTACAGTGTTTGCAGGTAGCACTTGGCCATCTTCAGTGAGCAGAGGCTACAACAATTCTCTTATATCGGATCTCTCTCTCTCTCTATGGACGTCTTTGGTGATCCATCCCTCCTTCTAGTTGCTGTAGAAGATGTTCTTTCTTGGGTCAGATCTTCACTGAGCTGCTTGTGCCACCAACGCTGTGCTCTACTTTTTCCCCTTGCTGGAGTAGTTTGCAATTCTGTTTTTAATACTGTATGGGCTTTTTAGGAACTTTTGTACTCATTTTCCCATCCCCTTCTTCTTTTTGCTTATAATTGCTTTGAGTTCATTAAAACTGGAAGTCCAAAGTACAGGAATGTGACTACACTCAGCTATTTTTCTTTAAGAATGAGTATTCCTGCTGTTTCCACCAGCTCCTAACTCTTCCCGATTGCTTAATATCAGTTGAAGGGCAGCTGATCCCCTTGGCCTTCCTCCATCTCTGAAGGTTAGAGTTGTCAGGGAGTCAGGAATTTCTGGAAGGATTATATTGCAGAGCTTGTCTCCCATTGTTACTCCTTCCTGCTTCTTTGACTGATCTACACTTAGTTTTTGAAAGGCATCATTCACATCTTTCTTTCTTTTTAAACTATCTCTGCCAGTTTTATTTTTTACTAATTCCTCCACTGTGTTTGACTGAGGCATCCCTTGGATTTCTGGAGCTGTGAATATTTATAATAGAAAGTACAATCTCTCCTCCCCCTTTTATTGCTTCTGCTCCCTTTTGACCAAGTTACACTGCTCCCTTGCTTAATCTCTGGAATCATCCTGCCGGACTTGTTACACCTATCAGATACTTTTTACGAAAGCTCCCTTTCCTCTCAGCATCACTGTGAAGATAACAGCCATAACCTTTGTTAGTCAGTCATCTTCCTAATCATTGGTTTCCACCGAGTGTCCTAAGAGTCCAGTTACTCTCTTTCTCCTGCATTCCATGTTTGCATCTCCAGCTCTGACAGAGGTAGTTGAAACCCTCCTCGTCACCTATAGCGCAGACCCACAGATCTTTTCCATCTTAGAATAGAGCTGGAAGGGACCTTGGGTATATTCTAGTCCACCCCCCTCCTGAAGCAGGAGAACCTATACCTATACCATCTTCTACAATTCCATCCTTCCCAAACTGAACTTGCAGCATTTTCCCTTCCTTGTCCTCTTCTCTGGAGTGGAAGGATGGAGAAATGTTTTGAACCAGGTCCCAAAGCCCATGATGCAGCGTTCATTGCAGCAACATTTGTTCCCACCAAGGAGCAGGAGGGGGGGCCTCTCAGTGGAAGTGAGGAATCTTGGCAGTTGTTCTGTAAGCCTCCTTGACGTGCAGCTAGGAGACCTGGCCTGGGGCCTTCCCTGGCTGGGAGCAGAAACAGAAGCCTCGACATCCAGTGACTTGTTCTTCCCTGAGATGGAGCCATTCCTGGACAGGGACAGGAAGCATCAGGAGGCACGGGATGTAGAAGAAAGATTTTGGCCATCGTGAAGCCCTGGGACAGACCCACAAAAGAGCGACTGGGTCAGCTTTGAGGATGGGAGGTGCCATTTTAGATTCCTCTCCAGCCAGGAAGCTCCAAGCGGTTTCCTTCCTCCCTCAGAAAACATTTTAAACGAGCTAAAACAGAGGGCAAGGAAAAGAAACCACTTCCTGTCCTGTTTGGCTGCTGGCTTCGATTTACTCTTGGCCTGCCTGAAGAGGGCAGTTGGGCTGGGCGACTGTCACAGAATTTGGCAGCCTCTTCCAGGACTCCCATGACGGCTCTGTGGGGCCAGAGTGGGGGAGGCAGGCTCTGCTTTTGCTGATTAAAAGGACCCTGTTTTGCTGCCATCCTGGCTTCAAAGCTCCTTTTATGTAACTTGCTTCATTCAGACTGCTACCAAAAAGGTGGTTGCATGTCTCTTATTGGTCTGACTTCTTGAAAGTAGCCAGGCAGCTTTTTCCTAGCCAGAGACTGCACTCTAGTTGGGATCCAGCCCATCCTGCCCCCACATTTTCCACCCCTGAGACAGGCAGATGTGAAAGAACCACTGTGACATCACCTGAGTGGCGTGGAAAAAACATTCAGCTTCTGTTCTGCTTTGAGGCACCAGAGCAGGGGCGGGTTTCCTGAGCCAGCCTTGTTGTAAAGGGGCCATAGCTGCTCATCCCATGCCAGAGCATACCCTCGGCCTTGCAAGGAGCATAATGTCCCTCGTCTGGCCCTTCTGTGGCACAAAAGCAAACGCTGTTCTCTACCAAAAACAGGGCCACCTTTGCTGAATGCCTGGTTTGAGGCTGCTTTGCAAATATGTGGCTGGGGGTCCCTGAGTGCCCTCCTAGGCTGGCAAGCCAACCCCGCCCCCGGATTCAGCTGATGTGTATCCCATGATCAAGAGGTAAAACATTAACCCCAGATCTTAAGGACCTGTCAAACATTGCACTCGTCTCCAACCTGCTTTCAGCAACGGGTACTCCTGGGTGACTTTGAGCCACTCACCCTTTCTCACCCCAGCCTGCCTCACAGCTCATGCAACTGGGGATGAAATGAAGAACAATCGGCCTCTAAGCTCCCTTGGGGAACTGAAGAAAATGTAAGGAACAGATTATGTTTTAGTTTTTAATTAATAAATAGTCAAGACAGACCAGCTAGCCAGATGAAGGGCGATGCACGGTCCAGGATGATGCAAAGCTTCCTCACTGCTGAAACCCCGTCTTCCCTCTCCAGGTACCACAGAGGCATCTGCCATGGAAGCAGACAGCGAAGGGGAAATGGAACTCCTGAGTAGCAGCATTGCAGCCTATGTGCACATCCGAGGTAGGTGGCCCAATGGGGCTTGTTTGGAAGATGTGCCTGCCACCACACCAGGCAGTGTTTGAGAGCGCTTGATGGGTGCGCAATCCTCCATGCAACACAATTGGTCTGGCTGGGCAGGATCTCTTGGAAGTGGCTGAGCCCAATTCTCTGGGAAAGGCTTTCAGGAGCCAGTTGATCCTGAAGAATTAGACAGGGTCCTGGTGGCTATAAGCTCAGCTACATGGACTCGTGCCCCGCCTGGTTGGTCAGGGATCCCAGGAGATGGTATGTATTTGGGTGGCGTGGTGGATGAAGGCTCTGCAAGAGGGAGTGGTGCCACCTATCCTGAAGGATGCAATGGTGGACCCCTTCTCAAGAGGGTATCCTTCCACTCCAACAGTATTAGACAACTTCCATCATTCTCCAAACTTCCCTTTATAGGGAAGGTCATTGAGAGGGTGGTTGGCACTCAACTACAGGGCCCTGGATGAAATGGATTATTTGGACCATGTTCCATCCGGATTCAGACCCAGGTACACAACCGAAACTTGTCACACTAGATGACTTTGAGGGGACTAAGATGGGACTGGCCCTCCTGGCCCTCTCAGCAGCTTTTGTACCACCAACCAGTGTATCTTTCTGGGTGGGCATTGGGGGGTTTGGGGCGGGAGGCAGAGTTTTGCAGTGGGGTTCTCCCCTTTCCTGCATAGCAGGTCCAGCGCCAGACCCTTGCAATGTGGGATGCCTCAGGCCTCGGGCCGCTTTAAACCTGAACCACTGGGGAGGTCATCCAATGGCATGGGGGCTATACTGTACATCCACCTCTCTCCAGGCAGGTGATGCTATTGCCAGTGCTAACTGAAAACCTGGAGGCAGTAAAGGTCTGGATGGGGAGAAATTGGTTTCTGCTCAACCAGTTGAAGTGCCTCTTGGGCCTTTCACCCCCTCCCTCAGCCCAGTTGATATGTCATCTTTGACTCTGGGTGGGGTTATACTCCCCTGGACTGAGTTGGTGGGGGGGGGGGGTCCTCCTAGAATCACAGCTCCTCTTCAAGAAGCAGGTGGCAGCCTTGCCTGGGCGGACTTTGCGCAGATTGTAAGCCTTGGTCACTTTTTGCTTGGATTACTGCAATGTACCCTACATGGGGCTACTCTTGAAGACCATCCAAAATTTCCAAGTTGGGAGCTGTGGACATGCTACACAAACAGATTACTTTCTTGAAATCCATCTCGTCCAGTTTCTGTGAAGCAGGGAGGGTCAGGCAAAGAGAGAAATCGGTTGCTTGTTTCTCTCTCCCAACGAAGAAAAGATATTGGAGACAAAATGACCACTTTGCTATCTGTGTAGAAGTTTAGCTTATTATTCTCTTGCAGTTCCTTCCTCTCCAATCTCTCTGCTCCTTAAGGGGGAAAGAAAATCACAGGCACAAGACAACACATACTGACTGCAACAGCAATCACATGGCAGAAGCTCTGCAAAAGTCACTTTGACCACTAAATGAATGGTCAATAAGTAAGGACTGTTTGTACTGCCTTTCAGAAGACCCTGGAAAATTTCATTTTTTCACCAATTTATGGCCCATAATAGCTGCTTCAAGTGCAAAGATTATTGTGCCTGTTGCTTTTCTTTTCTGATTTTTAGAATGAACTTACCTCTTATTGTTTTAAACATTAACATCTTATTGTTCTCTTTGAAGTTCTTCCATGAGGGAGAAATGGTGGAGAGAGTCAGGTTCCCTCCCTTTAGTCCAGCCCGCCCAGTCGATTGCCCTTCCCTCCTCGCAGCCTAGAAAGAATAAAAGAGACTCTCCCAAGGAGCAGCTGGAGGCTGGGTCAGAGCGGGCTCTGTGCCCCTCGGGGTGCCCAAGCAGCCTGTTCCTGGAGAGCACAAACGGGGAAGGATTTACCCCCCACCCCCCACCCAGCCACCATTTCCTCTTTGACCTGCTCCTCTCTGTCTTGCCTAGATAACCTGGAGAGCGTGGGCCTCTACTTCGTGCTGGGGGTCTGCTTCGGTCTGGTGCTGACACTCTGCCTGCTGGTCATTCACATATCCTGGCACCCTCAAGCCATTCCCCCCAAGCGCCAGAAGAGCCCGCAGGACTTGAGCGAGGAGGAGGACGAGGACGAGGAGGAGGAGGAGGAGGAGGAAGATACAACCGACCATGTACTTTCCGTCCCCCCCTTAGCCATGACAGAGCTGCCCCTGGTATCCCCCAGCCCCCCAGACGGAACCCTCACAATCAACGTCTTTGCATCGGCGGAGGAACTGGAACGGGCCCAGCGCCTGGAGGAGCGTGAGAGGATCCTCAGAGAAATTTGGCGCAATGGCCAACCGGACATTCTGGGAACCGGGACTGGCACCATTGGGAGAGTCCACTACTATTGACCAACCTCTTCCTTCATGCCTAAGTGTAGTGTGCAACTGTCCTTGAGGCACTGCGGCAGTCACAGACCTTGAACTAAGAGGGATAATGGCGGGTGGGAGGGGAGGGGTCTTCCCCAGTGTGAGTGACCCTGACTGGGAGCACCAGGCACAGCCAGTGGGAGTCTAAGGGTCAATTGGGATGGAGGACTATGGCAGGGACTCCAAGAGGACCACTCCCAGGTACCGGCTCTGACCCGTGGGGGGGAGGGGGAGGAAAGGAGTCCCTCATGGGCTCTGGAAAGGTCTTACAGCACCCCCTGATGGGTCTGGGAGGGAGGGGCTCCAGGGACTTTGGGCCTGCTCGGTGGAAGGATACAAGACCTTTGCCTCCAACTGCTGAAGAAGCTGCATTCAGCATGAATGACCCAGCCCAACCTTTGCTGAGCTGCTTGCCCAGGGATGTGCTCTGCAACCTCCCCGAGAGAGACCCCAGCTGGTGGGCAGGCTCTTCTCCCAACTTGTCCTAGGAAAACCCCTCCCCCCCCCCCACACACAGTGCCTTACCTGAAGTACTGTATCTTATCTCAGGCTACCTTCCTACAACATGGCGACTCTCCTTGGACTTCCTCTGCAGTGGAATTCCTTGTTTTTTAAAGAGGGGTTGGGGGGGGGAGAGAATAGGGACGTCTGCAGAGTCTGCCAGGGGCGTCTCACGGGCTGAAGAGGGGCTGGCAGAGACGGGCTGCAGGGGGCCCCATGCGCAGGCGCTGTGTTAGGCTAGCTCCTCCCTGCATAGAGGGGTTGATTGGTAGCAAATACTCCATTTAGTAAAATGTAAAACTTTGCCTTATCTTTTATAAAACAGAATTATTCCAGTGCGGTCCTTCCTTCTTGTGGTGCTCAGCGCTCCCTCCCTGAGGCTGGTTGTTGGGTGCCTTGGCGGGGGGGGGGGGGGGGGGGGGGGGGGGGGGAGGCATCCGTTTTGTATCACTTGGAAAGAAAGGCATCATTCCTCCCAGGGCTGCTGTTGTAGGACGACTTCATTTGAGTCCTGTGCCAGTCCATCCTCCTCCCTGCCTGCCCCCCCAGGACACTGATACCTTCCTGAGAAGTTTTGGTTCTTCACGTTCCCCAGGCTCTCACTGGGGGGGGGGGTGGGATGCGTGGACCACCCCTTCCAGGGCATTCTTGGTTTGTGAGAAGTGAACTGTTCCCACACTTGGTCCTCCCCTCTCCTCCTCCCAGAGATTCCCTAGTCTTCACCTTGGGGGGTGCGGGAGATTTGACCCTCCCTCCCTGGTGTGTGTGTGTGTGTGTGTGTGCATAGATGCAGTTCATGCAAACAAGTAGCTGTAAAAAAAAATCTTGAGTTAATTTTGGAATTCGGGAAAGCAGTTAATTTTTGTCACTGGAGACAAAGCAGATCCTGGACTCTGGAGAACTGAAATCCCCCTTGGAGGGGAGGGGGTGCTCCTGGGACAAAGAAACTCCACGCATTCCCTTTCCTCCTGGCTGCTCCCAGAGAGGAGTGGTAAAAATAGCCTTTCCACTCAGTCCTGTTGTAACTTGAACCAGATGTTTGCCAGATGTTTTCCTGAAAGCTGTTTCCTGCAACTGCCAAAAACCATCCAGGAGACTTGGGAGTGCTAGGCAAGGGGGAGGAGGAGGAGGAGCAGCCGGTCTGGCAGGGAAGAAACGGAAACCCTTTCCTCGGAGGGGGGGGGGCAGGAAGGCAGCCCACCCTTTGGCCTCTCTGCTTTTTTTACTCCATGCACAACCAACTCCGATCTCTTCCACTCCAGGGAAACAAACGGCTTGTCTCTCTGTGGAGAAGCCCTTGGAACCTGTGCTAGTCCCCCCCCCCCCCCTCCCTGCCCTCTTTTCCAGGTGTACCTTGATGCAAAAGCACTCCTAGACTTTTCCTTGGATTTAACTGAGGATCGTAACTGGGGGATTCCCACAAACTGGTAAGAACGGTGTGAGAGATGAAGGCTTGAACGGGGTTCTTCTGAGGCGCTGGTGGTTTTGGTTGAGCTGGGATTTGAAGGAAGGCCACAAGGCTGAAGGCCCATAATCAGAAAATACAAGACTTGCAAGAGGATTTGGAGATCATCCAGTCCAGCCCGTGCCCATTGCAGGATTCCAGCACTGAAGTATCCCTGACGATGCCCACCCAGCTTCATGTTTCCTACCCAAATGCAGGACTTTCCATCCGTCTATTAAAATCACTCTTGAAGAATGTGGCCCAAAAGTGGACATTGCCTCCCTGGTGCCCGTTACCCTCTGGTCACCTGCAGGCTTGACTCCCGGGTGGTCCTCTCCCCTCTTTCCCCATAGATCCCACCCAGGTCGTCTTGAAGCTGATCAAAACTCCCCTGCTGCATCTACCTCACACATGAACTCCTGGCAAAGCAAAAAGGTAGTCCTCAACTTACGACCACATGTTGCTAAGTGAGAAATTTGTTAAGTGAGTTTTGGCCCATTTTTATGATTTTTCTTGCCCCGTTTGTTGAGTTAAGTTAGTAACCTGGTTAAGTTAGTAACCTGGTTGTTAAGTGTTAGTAACTGCAGTTAAGTTAGTAACCTGGTTGTTAAGTGAATGTGTCTTTTCCACGGAGTTTGCTTGTCAGAAGATTGCAAGAGGGGATCACGCGAGACCCCAGGACTCTGCAGCCATCATAAATAGGAGCCAGTTGACAAGCACCTGAATGTTGATCCCCTATGACCCTGGGGATGCTGCAACGGTCATAAGTGTGAAAAATTGTCGTTCTTTTCAGTGCCATTGTAAATCATAAGTCCCTTTTTTTTCAGTGCCGTTGTACCTTTGAACAATCACTAAATGAACTGTTGATAAGTCGGGGACTCTGTATTCCACTCCTGCAGTCCAATTCCAAGCAGTTAATTCCCCAACAAAAAATATGTGTGTTCATCCTTTGCAATACAACCGCGAGTTCCTTCGCACACAGGAAGGAGCCAGAGGACAAAGAGTGGCTGGTTTCACTCACGGAACGAGTCCTCTGGAACCATAAACTCTGGATTGCAAGTACCCAGGATGCTTTGCCCAAAGCAGATCCCACTGCACCTTGACAGGGTGGGCCACTGCTGGCTCCCCACCTATGGGCATGGCCCAAGGCCTTCCTGCCAAGGCTCCAGATGGAGCAGATCTGAGCGTCTCATCTGAGAGGCGGAGGACTCAAAGGGAACCATTTTGCCCAAGGGAATCGTTGCACATCCCTTCCCAATTTATACCAATGTTGCCCACTCACTCTGCGTACTTTGCAAGCTGTGCACCCCTTGTCTTTGGGACCCCCAAGCGAGAGAGCTGCGGGCAGCCAGCCTGTTGCAGCTCGTGAGCAGAACAGAAAGCATCATCTCTGGTACTGGGCATGGTGTGGCCATCTGCATGTTGCGTGAGGACAGGTAGCCAGGTATTTCCACAAGCCACAATGGCTTTTGACGGAAGGGCACTGCCTTATTACTGAGAAATGGGAGCTGGGAAAGCCAGGAGTCTCCTGCAGCTGAAGGGCTAGAAGCCTAGCAATGTATGGTGGCGTTTGGGGTCCTCTTTCTTTTTTGTTTTTAAATATATAAATTTTTATTTTTCTAAACACAGAGAAAACAATACATAAAAACATAAAACCATCTTTCAATTACATGCAGTGTGTCGATTGGTTGCGTTTGGGGTCCTCTTTCTTAAAAACTGATTTCATGGCTGTCACTACGTACCCAGGAGCAGGCTCCGCCTCTGCCCACGTAGAGGACGATGGGCTCTGCTACTAAAGGGTGGACTCCTCCCAGCGAGAAAAGCCAGGCTAACGTGAGACTCAGGCTGGACCGGAGCTCCGCCATCTGTAGCCTGGAACAAATGGTAGAAGTCCAAGCAGGGCAAACGCGACCGGAGAGGCAGGCAAGTTGGGCAGCCTCACCATCCACAGTAGCCGGCCTTGCCGACATCTGAAGAGGCGGGAGAAAACGAACTGCGTGGGCGCCCCCTGCCGCTGGAAGCACGAGCCAAATGGGAACCATTCCCCACTGGCGTCCGCATCTGTGCACCCCTGGATTGGGTTTTAGCTACGTTTTAAACACAGCTGTTGCTGCACTCCACTAGTGGGCAATTGCTTCATTTGGAAGCCAAGCCCCCTGAAAAGGAAGTCAGAGTTCCCGGCTCTGCACAGATAGTATGGGTGAGAGGCACCTTAAGGTCTTCTAGTCCAACCCCCTGCTCAAGCAGGAGACCCTGGGCCTGGGCCATTCTGGACAAATGGCTGTCCAGTCTCTTTCTGAAAGCCTCCACAACGTCTGGAGGAAACTTCTCCTTTGTTCTAGGTTGGTTCTCTCCTCGCTTAATGTCCAAGATTCCAGATGGGGGTCACGTTATGTATATTAAATGCATGTTAAACCGAAGGAGCCAAGGAAGATTCTGCAACCCAACACACCCTTCACTTAACCTGCACAATTTCTCCCTGTCCGTTCTAAATAGAGGAGTCTTTCAAGATGTTACATCTAAGCTTGGCTTATATAGAACACCTTCTAAGCTGAACTGTGATTTGCTTGACGTTGGCTTGCCAATACATTCAATGAGCAAACGAAGGTGTGTTGTGTGACCACAGCCTAAACACTTGTGCAGAGTTGGATCCAATTAATACTTGGACAGGAGGGAGACCGGCACAAACTGCCAGGATTCTAGAAATACTAAACAAGCCTAGGTAAGGACCTTTATGTAGTCACCAGGAGCCGCTTGACTAAAGAAAGTCTTTATCTCCACTCAAGGCAGAATCCCAGCCAGAGTTCAGGACAACCACCCACACTCTCCTGGTTAGTTGGCTAAAGCAGTGGTCGCCAACCAGTGGTCCGCAAGAAAATTTTGGTGGTTCGCAGAGAAATGTCACCCCCAGAGCATCTCCCAAAGCAAATAATCCAGGCTGTGCGGGAACACAAGGCTTGCTTTGCTTGCATTAGGAACAACACAAGGTAGTGAGGGGAGGGGGGAAAGGGTGGAGGGGGGGAACTTGTCCGATGCGCCTGGCCTGGCCACTGAGAGAGGGAGAACATCACCAGACCTCTGAGGTTAGATCAGATCTCTCCCTCTCCCTCCCACCAATGTCAGCAAGCCACGTCAGTCAAAACTCACATTAGTGGTCCTTGGGATTTAAAATAATGAGTTTGGGGGTCCCTGAGGTCCAAAAGGCTGGCGGCCTCTGAGCTAAAGGGCCCTTTCTGGTTTTTTCAAATGAAAAATACTTCCCCATCCCTCTCCCCCACAAAAGCCTTGGTGACTAACTAGATCCACTTCCCCACTCTTCATTTCTTAATCACGGTTCACCATCTCTGCCTGGAAACAAATCCCCAAATATGTCGCTCCAAATTCCAATGGGAATGGACGTCCTTTGCTGCCCCAGGAAGCCTTCTAACACACCCAGTTCCATTCTCCTAGAGAAATGTCATTATTGTATTTTTCCTAGGCCGGTGTTTCTGAACCTTGGCAACTTAAAGAGGGGTGGACCCAGAATCCCCTGCCAACTCCTAATTCTGGGAATTGAACTCCGTACCTCTTCAAGTTGCCGAGGTTGAGAAACACCGGCCTAGGTCAATATTCAGGCCCAAAACCCCTTGTATTGCAGGTCAGATGTTTTTCTCAGCATTAATGCACATTTTTCAGAAGTCTGCCATGGCTCTTCTGTTTCGTCTGCACACCGGATTACACCTACCAGGTATGAGTCTACTCAGCCAGAGCACTGCAGATGCTAAACACTCCGCTTGGAAAGAAGAGTTCAAGAATCCTGACATGAAACGTCTCTGTGTATCAACCCTGCTGCCCACCTTGGAAAGCACCTCATAAATGCAATCCAGGAAAGAGATGCCGTAGAGGA